GCCAGGCAGGCACTTGTGGCACTAAACTAAATCCCCAGCACACATTTTGTTTCTGTTTTGGTGTTTTTGAGAGAGGGTCTTGCTATGCAGTTCAGACTGCCCTTGAGCTTACTTTGTAACCCAGGCTGGTCTTGAACTTATAACGATCTTCCTGCTTCAGCCTCCCGACTGGCTTTGACTCCGTTTTGCAAGAGAGAAAAACTATCTAGAAGCATAGCCACCTGCCCAGCACCACATAGCCAAGAATAGGAACTTCCCCTCTAGGAGCTGACTTAAAAGATATATATGTTCTTTTTAAAAATGTTTTAAATATTGTGGTAATAGTTACAGAGGCTAAAAGTTAACATTTTGGCCATTTTAAGTGTACAGTACTATGACATTAAGTGTCCTCACAATACTGCAGTCACTAACACCATCCATTTTAGTCTGTGCCCCACTCCCCCTTTTTGTCTTTTTGAGACAGGGTCTCACTGTGCAGTTCAGGCTGGCCTTGAGCTCACTTTGTAGTCCAGGCTGGTCTGGAATTTGCAACAGTGCTCCTGCCTCAGCCTTCCGAGTGCTGGATTACAGGTTTATAGGCGCGGGCCACCACGCCTGGCTGGCTGCCTGTGCCATTTTTCGGCACATTTTTTTTTTTTTTTTTTTTTGGTCTTTTTTCATTTTTATCGGTACCGGGGATCGAACTCACGACCGCCTGCTTGCAAGACAGGTGCTTATGCCGCTGAGCTAAACCCCCAGCCCCATGCCTGTGCCATTTTTCATCCTTACTTTGTCTCTTGTTCTTTAGGGCACTTTAAACCATCTGAAGTCAGAGTGAAAAGTGGAGTTTAAGTTTTCAGACTAGACTGAATACTGGGTCAGGGTTTTTTTTTTCTTTCCATAACCTCAGCCGGCCCTATTTTATGCAGAACTTCTTGGTGAATCATTGAAGTGGAGGATGTTGTTTTGACCTGGATTACCTGTTATCGTGGCTACTTTGCTGACACCACATTGGAGCTTTTGGTTCATTTCTGCTGTCGAGGGGCCCAGTGGGACGGTGATCTAAGATCAGCTCAGGAGCTGTATACCTGCCAACGGGCCGGAGCGCCACCATGCTAAAGCTTGCTCTCTCCCTTGTACTTGCGAAATAAATTTGCCTCGTCATCCTCCACTCCAGCTTCCTGCCGGGATTCCTATTCACTATTTTCAGTTTCAGTTTGAGCTTTTAGGATTTCTTACTTTTTCTCTGGCTGAATTACCTGTATACAGGTATAAATAAAGAGTTTTATAAGGACTCGAGGGTGGGGTAAATTGGGATGTGTGAAAGAAGATTTTGCCTATGTCGGGTAGCTTGACTTTTCCTCTTGTCAGTGTTCTTGTGGCAGTGGTCTTGAAGTCCTGGCCTGGCAGCAGAGCCGCCGGGTGAAATGTGACACAGACTGGGTTGAGAATTGGCAGTTGTCCTGAGCGCATAAATAGCTTTTTCTCTCCCAAGCATGTTTTACAGCCAAGTGAACAGAAAACAATTCAGCAAGCTACTTGCTGCAGACCTGAGACAGAAAAATTATCTCTACAAAGGTTGACAACTTCTAACAAAAAGTTTCCCAAAGAACTAATTGCTTATTTTTGTCTCCTTTGATCCCCAGTCTGTTTTTTTGACCCCCAATACTGAAAGATAAGTCTAGTTCCAGAGGTACAGCACTTCTGAGCTTGGTCGTGGTGGTGGGGGTTGGGCCGATCCTATACTCTCTGCACCAGAGCCAGCTAGGTAGGAAACCGAAGCCTATACGCGGAGAGTGGTGGGGAGGCAGCTGTGGTGCCATTCCAGTCTCACTGACTAATGTCACCGGCTTGAGGCTTGACCTGAGGAAACAGCTCTAAATATAGCCTTCGTTTTTGGCAGCTGCAAACACCTGGAGGAGCAGGCGGACCCTAGCAGAGAAGTGTTTGCTGTTAATAGCATGTCTGTCGAAGCAGTTCTGTGCCGTCAGAGAGCTTGTTTCATGCTATGTTTGTGTGTAATTAAAAACAGCTCACTGGATCCATTGGCTTATGGTTGGGTTATGTTTAGAAACATGCAGTTTGGGTTGTCATCTGCTGTGAGCACTAAGGGTGATGTCACTGATTTGAGTAGGAATAAAGGAGAAGCTGTTAATGTAATTAGCAAGCAGTTCTTTGATCTCTGTAATGAACACAATTTAAACAGCCTTTGTGGCCTTTGGTTTCTGGCACTGGCGAACCAAGCTGCCAATAATGTGATATTGTTCATTCACGAACACTAGTTCATGTGCTTGGTGGTTGCTTTTGACAAGGGGGGTCTGTAAGCAATTGGAACAACAGCATTTATAAATTTACAGTGGCTTTACAGAAAAGGAAACTCCCAATAGCTGTTAAACATGTAAAAAGACATTCACTTTGTTACAAAGGTAATAAGCTTTTTGGGAGGTGGGGGTGCTGGGAGTTGGGAATTGAACTCCATCCCCAGCAGTGTGTTAGGAGCTGACTGAGATTTTTTTTGGGGGGTCAGACTAGGAGAATCCAAAATATTGAAGTACAGTAGATGAGCAAGTGGGAAAATAGGCACTCTCGTTCATACATTGTTGGTGAAAGCATTTCTACGTGGCTTCACTAAGGGAAGCGTGGGTGTGTCTGTGAAAGCCACAAATACATTTGATCAAACAGTACACACCACAGACAGGTGCACAAGTGTGAAATAATGTGGGCCTAAATGTGTTTGGGAATACAGCTGTAAAAAACAGCTTACATGCTGTCCTGACACAGATCTTCAAGACAAGTGTTAAGCCAGGCATGGTGCCATACACCCAAGATCACAGCTCTGGGAGGCTGAGGCAAGCGGACTACAAGTTTGACCCCAGCCTGAGCTACCTAATGAGACCCTGTCTCAACATTTTAAAAAATCCTGGGGGCTATATAGTTCACTGTGAGAGCCCTGATTCAATTCCTCGTACAAGGAAAATAAAAAAGGCACAATGTTCGGGGAATAAAGCCAAGGGACACCAAATTGTGTAAGAAGGGGAAGGTATGAATTATGTATTTGCTTATATATGCATAAGGAAATCAGAAGATCTATAGGAAATTAATGTGAATGGTTATTCATGTGTGTATGTGTTGAAAGAAGAAGAAATACTATGTCATTTTTCATTGCATGATTTTTTTTTTTTTTTTTGTCTTTTTAAGACAAGGTCTCCCTATTTTGTTCAGTCAGGCTGATCTTGAGCTCACTTTGTAGCCCAGGATGGTCTCGAGCTTGCAGCAATTCTCCTGCCTCAATATCCCCAGTGCTGAGATTACAGGAGTGTGCCACCACACGCAACTTTTGTGTTTTGGGGGGCTTTTTTGGGTACTAGAAGTTGAACTCAGGACCTTGCACTTGCTTATGACACTGAGGTATATCCCCAGCCCCTCGTGGATGAAAATTTTGAGCCATGTGCGTTGCTGATTTAAAAAAAAAATTAATTAGCTGGGTATGAACAGCCCTGTAATCTCAGTGCTCAGGAGGCTGAGAGGCAGGAGGAGCTCTGCAGGTTTAAGGCCACTGTGGGCCCACTAGTGAATTAAAGGCTATCTGAGACCGCATAATCAGACCCGACTCAAATAAATAAAATAAATAAATAATCAAGAGTATTTTCAAAAGTGGAGCTTCACTGAATTCCCCAGTTACTTTTTCCCCCTGTGGTGCTGTGAATTGAGCCTAGGGCCCTGAGCATGCAAGGGCAAGCACTCTATCCCGAGGTCCCCCAGTCATAGTCACAGAGGACCTCTCTTTTAATTTTTTGTTTTGAGACAGGGTCTTACAGTGTGGTCCAGGCTGGCCGTCAGCTCCCTAGTTACCTAGGCTGACCTCTTGCTTGAGGTGATCTCTTCTTGCTTCAGCCTCACAAGTGCAGGGTAACAGGTGTGAGTCACCACACTGGCCACAGGAACCTGCTTCATTGGCCCCTTCACTCATCATTGCTGTGCTTGTGAGCAACAGATCTAATGTTGTTGCAGATGGTAGTTTGTTACTTCCAGGGAGGGAAACATGGGAAGAAAACCATACACATGTTTGTTTGAAGGGGACCAGGGAGTAGCTCAGTGGAGATTCTGAGTTCGGTTCCTGGCACCAGAGAAGAATGAATGAATAAATAACAATTTGTCAGTCCTGGGACTTTTCCTGTTATTTCTTTGTGTGTGTGTGTGTGTGTGTGTGTGTGTGCGTGTATTTTTAAAATTAGTACATTTGCAGTGCATTATTATGTTACATTTACTGTGGGAAGTTTGTACATGGACATAACACAACTTAATTCCTTTTTGTTCCCTTTCCCTTCCTGACTTGCTGTTTTTTTTTTTTTTTAACTCTTCATTCCCCCCCCCCCCCCCGCCTTTTGTTGTGTTTTTGGGGCAGGGTCTTACTAAATTGTTCAAGCTGGCCTTTAACTTGCGGCAGGCCTCCTGCCTCGACCTCCCAAGCACTGGGACTACAAGTGTGTACTACCACACCTGGTCTTTCTGCCTCCCTTTTGAAAAAGTTCTATTCCTGTATTTTCTTTGATTCTCTTAAATTCTTTTTCCTTCTTTCCCTCCCTCTTTCATCTCATGTTCCCCTTCCCATTTGAAAAAGATTTTTCTACTTACTATATACCCTTTATTTTTTCTTTATTTATATTTTGAGTTTTTCATATAAGACAAATCATGTTATATTTAAGCTTGTGTGTCTGGTTTATTTTACTTAAAGTTATCTTGTCATGTATCTATCGGTCTACAAATGCCTCATTTTTTTACTCTTACCTACTGATGGACACATAGGCTGATTTCAAGATTTAGCTATTAGGAATTTGCTTCTTCATGCATGGGTATGCAGATACTTTTTCCTGTGGCTCTTCACTCAGAATCTGTGGCTTTAAAGACTTTCGTACTCAGATTTTTGGACAAACGCTAAGAAATAGGCGTTTCCTTTGGCTGCACAACTAATACACTGTCCTTTGGACAGCACTCAAATCTATGGCTTTTTTTATTTGTAGGAACTTACAAGCAGCAATTGGCGCCTATTATGACTTTGAGAGCCCAAACATCAGTGTGCCCTCTATGTCTTTTGTGGAAGATGTCACCATAGGAGAAGGCGAGTCAATACCTCCTGACACTCAGTTTGTAAAAACGTGGCGGATCCAGAATTCTGGTAAGTGTGTAACGAATGAGCAGGTCTCTCTTGTTCAGTCTTTGTTTTCTTAAGAGAAATAATGAAATGTTGGAGCTTGTGCATCTGATTGGGCACTTCCTTACATGATGTGTCATACAGCATTTGTTTGTACTGGCACGATGACCAGGTGTCAGTGATATATGGAGAATAAGGAATTGAGTCTCATGCTTCTATGCCACCTCAGTCTTGATGGCGTGTGCACGTAAGTCACATTCCTCAGGACCAGGCGCCAGGCTTGTGTCGCCCCACCTGTGCAGCTCTGCACCGTCATTTTATTTCTGCTCTAGTTAGTCCTTCAGCAGGCGAGAGGCGGGCAGCCTGGACTGGAGCCAGGGCTTGGGGAGGACTGCGAGCACCTGCTTGCTCCCTTGCAAGTGTGTTTCTTTACAGCCATTGAGACATCAGAACCATTAATATCACTTTGAAAAATAGTGCAGGAACTACAGGAATTCACTCAGTAGAATGAGAGAAATTGTTGGTCTTTTTAAAAAAGCACATGGTTGTGATACACTCCAGTCTCTTTTAAGACTGCAAATAAATTGACCATAATTCTTTGAAAATAACATTTGGATACTCATCTGGTAACTGTTCCTACTTTTCACTTGTTAAATTCTTGTGTGGCATTAGTATTTCTTATTCTGTCTCATGGTGATTTGTGCTGACTGGTTGAAGGCCTTTAACTTCCTTGTTAATAAAGATTTCCAGAGAAATTCTGATAAAAAACTAGGCAAAAAGTACTATCTAGCCAAAAAATCTTCAGATGTGAGGGTACCCTACTTAAACATTAAACATTACTTAAACATTAAAACAAGGTAATGTTTTTGGAAGGCATTGAGACAGGGTCTCACTATATAGTTCAGGCCGATTTTGAACTCACTGTGTAGGCCTGGCTGACCTTGAACTCATAGAGAGCCTCTTGCCTCAGCCTCATGAATGCTGGGATTATAGGCTTATACCACCACACCCAGCTGGAGGAAAATTCTTTGTGTCACTAACCAGATGACATAAAGTGGCCCAGCCTAGTAGAGATGACTCAGAACACCCCTAGTTTTGTGACATCTTGTTGCTTTGGTCCATTTGGTGATGACAGTGGTGCATTGTAGCACATTTGGGAGGCAAATGGTAACAGAAAAATAGCCATGTTTTCTGTTCTTTCTGAAAATTCTTGGTTGGAGGCTGGTGGAGTTTTCTGTGGTTTGTTTTTTACTTTGCTTAATTTCTTTTTAATGTTGCTTAATTTTGCTCACTTTTAAACATATCAAAGCAGTTTTTTCAGTTCAGCTTCTTGCTTTTCATCATTGTTCTCAGAATTACAGAAAAGAAACCTGCTGTTACTCATTACAGTTTAGAAATATGAGTGAAGTTTACTTGCAAAGTGTGATTTGCCCCGAAGTTTTACCTTAAATTTAACCCAGTACCTTGTTTACCTTATCATGAAAAGCCTAGAAATGGTCTGATTTTCTGAGAGTTCTTTAGTGTGTTTAAATACTGAAAGTTGTTAAAGTACCGTTGAAGTGTTTTGAATACTGTCATGGTGCAGAATAGCTATTCTGTGTTTCAAGGAGTCTCTTATGTCTGTTGCTCCTTAGATGATCTTTTGGATGAATGGGGAAGTTGGTAAGTTTTAGACAGGATGTCAAATCAGAATCCCAAAGAGCCTGCCTTTCACTTTGACTTAGAAAAACTGTTGGTTGGCCTGCTTTATCTTCCTGCTTGGTAACTTCAGACTAAACAGCTTTGGAAGCTGGGATGATGTTGTACAGGCCTAGAATCTCAGCTCTTGGGAGGCTGAGGCAGGAAGATCACTTCAAATTCAAGGCCAGCCTGTCTTACATAGTAAGTTCCAGCCTAAACTACTAGCAAAACCTGGTTTTAAAACAAAATCAAAATAAAAACAGTCTGTAAAGATGGGCATTGTGGCACACACCTGTAATTCCATAAACACTTTGACAAACTGAGGTCAGGAGAAAGGGGAATTTGAGCCCAGCCTGCGCAGTTTAGCAGTTTGGCAAAATCCTGCCCCAAAATTTAAAAAAAGAGGAAGGACTGGGCATGTAGCTCAGTGCAAAGCCCTGGGTTTAATTCCCAGTAATAAGGTAAACAAAATAGAAGAAAACCAGCCTCTCTTGAGTGTTCAGCTCAGCCTCTCTTGAGTGTTCAGTTTCTTGTGTGTAAAAGGATGTTCTCAAGTCTGAATTTCTCCTGAGGAACTGGGAAATTGTGGAGATTTTTATCTTTTAAGGTGCTTCACACACCTAAGTTTTTTAACTTCTGAAAATTGTTCCACTGGTTACACTAGTTTTCATGTCTGTAAGCCGAACGTTTTCATTCTGTTAGGGAGAAGTTGATCTCACCTAACTTGAGTAGCAGACATTTGGTTTGTTTTGACTTTTTGGTTTTTGAGACAGGGTCCCACTATGCAGTTCAGGCTGGCCTCAGAGTTACTGCATAGCCCAGGCTGGCCTTGGGTTTACAGTGATCCTCCTGTCTCCATCTCCCGAGTACTGGGATTACAAGGGTCGCTCACCACCTCAGGTTTGGCTTGGTTTTTTGAGATAGCCTTCCCATATAGTATAGTAAGCTAGCCTTGAACTCTTGATTGATCTGCATTGGCCTCTTGAGTGCTGGGATTAATGTACAGACTTCTGCCACCATGCCTGAGACAGGCATGTTAATAATGAGGCAATGCTGATTCTTCAGTGCCATCCTACTCTGGCCTGTGTCCTTTGTGGAACTAAGCAGTACAGTAATACAGAAGTAGTGCTGGCCCCTTAGCTCCTTTCTTATGGCTTGCTTATTCTTACATTACCTGCCTTAAGAGACATTGAGCCAGGTGTGGTGGCACACATCTGTAATCCCGTCACCTGAAGACAGAGGCAGGAGGATCACTGTGTCCTCAAGGAGGCTACACAACAAGACCCCATCTCTAGAAACAAACAAAAGGGAGAGTCTTTGAGAGTTACGTTAGTAAAATATGATGCCTTTGAGTCCATCTCTTGGCTGCCGTGTTTAAATGGCATTTACATAGAGCACAGATGACATTGGTAGGAGCTGTGCTTTGCTGTCCCAGCAGCTTCTCCAAAGAAAGTAAATGATGAGAACTGTTTAATGCATAACATTGGATAGCATAGATAGGCAATTTAGGACCCAAACTTTCGTTGCTGTGGAAGTGTTGGAACTCTGGGAAACATAAGGAAGAAGCATTACAATTGGTAGATGTTACTCTTTACAGATCAATATTTGAACCCGTCTTTCTACAGATGTGAGCAGACAGAAAATTCTGCCAGCACTTAGAGGCTCTGAGAGTGAATGGTAAACTGAGTTTGCTGTGATAATCCCTGTTTCTCTCAGGAGAGTCACAAGCATTGTCAGGGAAATAGTGCGTTAGTTGTTATTGTGAGATGAGCATCATCTTTGTTTTTTGAGCTGCTTATACGTAAATACATAAAACAAGGGTTAGGAAAAGAATTTGAGAACAACCTTTTTCCTCATCTTTTTTTTTTTAGTGTATTTAAAAATAGTTGATTTTCTTCCATTCTGTTTAGTGAATTATGGAGGAGATGCTTCTTTTCATGCATTCAACATGTATTAGTATGCTCCAGCCACTTTATTAGGTGCAGGTGAGGACTGGTGACAAGACTGATGAAAGTATGTTTTCCTGGCACTTCATGTGAAGCGAAGGCTCTGCATTCACATGGGTTGCCAAGGAGATCTTCATCCAGGTTTGTCTTCTGCATTGCCACTTGGATGTTCCTATTGCCTCTTTTCTTTTTTCTTTTTTAGATTTTATTGGTGCATTGTAGATATGTATAATGATAATATTCATCATGAGTTTATACCTGTACCTGATACATCTTGATTCTTTTTTTTCCCATTCCCCTCCCTCTTTTTTTTTTTTTTTTTTTTTTTTACTGGAATGCTATGGTTTAATCCTCCCTCTTTTTTTACAAAACTTTGTTTCCATCTATTCTTTCTTCTCTTATCCCTTCTCTCCATCCCACCTTGCTCCCCTTCTCATTTGAACATTTTCTTCTCATTTTTCAATGTCTATTTCCAAACTCTTCCTGTGACCCCTGATACTAATTCCCAGGCTCTCTGAAACTGTTAAACAGCTTTGCTTAAAATGATCTTTTCAAAAAAATAAAATGATCTTTTCTATCATCTTGAAATGGCCACATGACAAGATTTTTTTTTTTTTTTTTTTTACTTCATTTTTAAAGTAATAATTTGGAGCTTGGGGTGTAGCTTGGGGCAAATCTGGCATGCATAAGGCTCTGGATTCCATCCCAGCACTGCACACGCTCAGTGAGCATTACAACAGTAATCACATGCGTGATTTTGAGACTCATTTGGAAAGTTATAAAACACAAACGATTCTCTTTCTTATAGATAGAGCCAACACCCCTTAAGGAAGTTTATATGGAGACTTAATGTGAAGTCCTGTTGTATTGTACTTTTGGTTTACTTGACCAAGTGACCCAAACAGCTAAATGGTATTTCCCTTCCTTCTGCATGGAGCATACAATATCTTTAAGCAGACCTGACAGATGTAACTCTAAGAACTGTGTATACATCACTGGTAATGCTCAGAGGCAGATCGATGCATCACTTCCTGCCAGATGAATACTGCAGAGTTGATGGTGGGTAGCCTGCATTTTTGTCTTCAAAATACTCTCCAAGTACCATGACATTAAACATCCTATCTGTCCGGAGTACCCAGGAAAGCAGGACCCAAGCCCAATCAGTAAATATTACCCATTTAATGTGTTACCAGCAGAGTTGCTCTAGAGAATAGCAGTATTCCCTCTTGCATAGCTAGAGTCTCATCTGTCTCAGCTGCTTGTGGCCATCTACACAGGATAGCAGAGTGTTTCTCGTATTTTCTCTCTTCTCTCCTCTCCTCTCCTCTCTCCTCTCTTCCTTCCCCTCCCTAGGTAGTGCAGGCTGGCTATGAACTTGCTTGTGTAGCTCAGACTGTCCTTAAACTCGTTGTGATCTTCCTGCCTCAGCCTCTTGAATGCTGGAATTCAGAAATGCACCACCACACCTGGCTATCTTGTTTTCTTACCAATTGAAAAACAGATCCAGTCTTAAGATTTTTGTTTTGGTACACCAAAACAGAGGGGAGGTGTGTGTGTTTTAAATAATGAGTCAAGACTTAAATCGGTAGCTGAGTGGGTTGTTTTGTTTTGTTTTTGAATCTTGGTCTTAGAGAGACTGGCACTTTCTAAGCTGCTTCATGTCAGCTACTGTTTTTCTTAACCTCAGACAATTAGGCTTTTGCCATGCCCCCAAAATGCAAGAGTTTAGCGCTAGTATGTCATTTTTATTTTTATTTTTATTTTTTTGGTACCAGGGATCAAACTCACGACCTCTCACTTACCAGGCAAGCACTTGAGCCACATCCCCAGCCCCAGGTTTTTAGAGCAGCCACCGTTGCTACCCCTCAAGACCCCAGGGCTACAAAGAGCACTTAGCAATAGAGCTAGCTCTGGTTGTTTTCTCTGCTTGTTTTCTAATAAGAAACCATCAAGCATGTTAAACCCAGCGTGGCACTTTGAAAACAAGGAATTGAGGCAACCTACAGGATTGGTGTGAGATAAATCACAAGCTTCTGTGCCGAGAGATTGGCAGTGGTCAACTTTCCACAGTGAATTATGTTTTATAATGAATATAATTAATCAAAAAAGGATACTTCAGTTTGTATTCTAAAAGGAGAATATCATTTGGATATTGGAGAGAGCTTACATCTAGTCACTGTGTGGCTGCTGTGTGTGACATTTGATTAGTCGGAACTAGTCAGTTCATAGATTTCTCATTTGGAATTAACATGTACAGTTCACATGAACATACGCACGCAGAAGTAACGCCAGCTGTGCTGACGCTCTGTTAGGGTGACGCAATACCTGAGAACAGTGTAAGGGAGGGAGGGCTGACTTGGCCCACTCGGTGTTAGTCCGTGGTCATTTGTCTCTTGCTTGTAGGCCTGTGGTAAGGTAGAAACACCATTTCAGAAGAATGTCGGGGTGGAAGAAGCACCTCATGGCAGCCAAGAAGCACCAGCAAAGAGCCAGGGAGACATGACCTGGAGACCAGAACCCCAGGGTCACACCCATGACTCACCCCTTCACTAGACTAAGGCCCCACCTCCTAAAAACCCTCTCTGCCCCGAACTCACAGATGAGTAAATACTCTATCTGATGAGGTTTGTGCCCTTATGAGCTGGTCGCTTTGCAAAAGCACCCTTAGGATCTGGACCTTGAGACACTTAGATCCAAACCGTCACACCAGAGACACTTCCAGGGGAAGGGAAACACTCCTCCTAGTGCCGCGCTCTGTACTGGCTCTCCTGCCCTTTCCTGAAGCTCCCTTCCTGGTGCCATTGTTCGAAGGATTACTATCGGTCTACATAGTTGTCAAGGTCACTCTGCCCCCCCCCCCCACACACACACTACTGTTTGAAAGTGACATGTAAACTTTCAGAATAAGAATACTGCCATAGACATTACAGTACTTCTCCTGTTCTCATCCTCTTGTTTGTGGGAGATCTGGGAACAGCCAGACATCCGCTCAAGTGAATAGTAGAGGAGCGCTCCCCCAGGGGTGTGAGCCTGGCTCTTCCTAGGCATCACTCTGGATTCTTCAGGTTCACTGTGATGGGTGGCTTCATTAGAGGTCGCCTGAGACATACATCTTGAAGGCCTAACTGCTTTGTCTTTGCCTTGTCATAGGGATAGACTGCTGGTCAGAGGTTATTGAATATGGTCATTTCTTCTGATTGGTCATATGAGACATTACGTAACTCACAGAGGCTTAGGTAGGTTTACACATGTGTGTGAAACAAGGAAAGCGGCCTGCTGTGCGGTTTTGTAATAAAGGACACACAGTGTAGGACCATTGATTGCCTAACATTTTTTTCTTTTGCTTGAACTCAGGAGCAGAAGTCTGGCCTCCAGGGGTTTGTCTTAAATATGTCGGGGGAGACCAGTTTGGACATGTGAACATGGTGATGGTGAGATCCCTAGAGCCCCAAGAGATTGCAGATGTCAGCGTCCAGATGTGCAGCCCCAGCAGAGCAGGAATGTATCAGGGACAGTGGCGGATGTGCACTGCTACAGGACTCTACTATGGAGGTGAGTATGTTCCCGCACAGTTCAGGGGCACGGAGTGAGGTACCAGCACCCTGCGGGCTGCTCTGTTAAATCTCAGATGAGCGGTGGCCTCCTTCACCCATAAAATAAATCCCTTGAATTTAGTGACCACTTGGGGGCAGTGTAGCGCTCTCCTCATGTTCTAGCAGTTTAGTTAAAACTTAAGTGATGTGTCTAACGTGTCATGCAGCGAAGTGTACCTGCTCTTACTGTCTAAGCCGGGGATGCTGTGGGAATGCTGTTCAGTCTCCAGATACAAGTCAGAGAAGTTGGTGGCCTGCCAAACTAACACCTCCCACACGCTCCTTCCCTTTACTGCCAGACTTTGAAACATGATCTGTCATCTCTTCCATATTTTCTGCATCTTCAGCCTCATCTGTCCTTGACCCAGTCCCAAGCCCAGCGCCTTTCCACCAGTGTGTGCCCAGTCACCAGATCCAGCCTCCTCTTCATGCTGTCTCCAAGCAGCCTGCCTTCTCATTATTATTTGGTACTGTAATAGGAAGGAAGGGTTTTTTTTTTTTTTTTTTTTTATTTAAGAGGAAAAAGAGAAAAACACAAAACAAAACAAAGTGGTGTAAGGTTACACATAATACAGAACTACAAAAAAAAAACATAACAGTAAGAAATCACCTATTAATAGATTACATATTGTCATCTTGGAAATAGTTGCTCAAATCACAGTATCAAAGAATACAAAGTAGACATTCAAACAGAGAGACTGCAAACAGCTGTGTTCAGTGATCCAAAAACATTAATATAGTCAGCTATTTAACACCCCTAAACACACTTGCTGTTATATCCGTTAGAGCTCTTTTTTTTTTTTTCCTCCCTCTCTTTTTACAACAAAATTTACACATTTTGGATTTTATTACTCCTTAGTTCTTATTACTTTTTTGGGGGGGGAGAGAATAAAGTCAAATATGGCAAAACAAAGCTGTCAGTCAAAACCAAGGTTAAACATAGCACATGATGTAGAACAGAGTACAAGGTTATTAACAATGGTTATCAATGTTGTCTCTTGTTTCCTTAAAAAGAATTGTCTATCTCATTAGATATTATAAAGTTGGACAAAACAGTAAAGAACAAGACCAATAAAACTTAGGCATTGTAAACATTACAGGACTTCCAAAGGAGACAATAGTCAAACCAGAATGGGCATCTTAGTGAAACTTATTGCCTTCAAAGTAGTTGCCTATACCCTCTGACTTGATACTATCGCACAGAATGGAACAGAGTCTAATCAGTCAAAACAAGATCGTGGGAGTATTATAGGACTTCAAAACAAGTTAATAGGAAATCGAAAAGAGTTACTATTATATATTCTAATTTTTTAAATTTTTCCCCTTAATTAAAATAAACATAAGAAATTGATCCGGCCTGCAGATCAACAGATTCAGAACTCCTGGAGAGGGAACGGGGATTAAATAAAAGACATGGGGGAGACAAAAAGAGACGAAAGCAAGTCGAAATAATCTGATCAAGCTTCTGGTTTATTCAGAAAATAATCACACCTTTTATAGGCTAAGGGCGGGAGCTGAGACAGGAAGAGGTTAAACAGATGAATACAACAGGGTCACCATCACATCTGGATAAGTGACGTAAGCAGAAGAGGATTATGGTTAATGTAGGCAGACGCAGTGCCCATAGGAGAGAGAGAGAGAGACATCGAGGCAGCAATGCCTGTCACTCGGCTCCCTACAAGAAATAACTAAATAATTTTTTTTAAAGAATAGTAGTTACCATAGTGTCTGTCTTTTTCCTTGAAATATTTGGATAAAACTTTATATACTATAGCTTCAAATATTTCCATATCAAGAAGCCCATGTTTCTAATTAATAAGTGAAAATTTTATAAGGCTTCAAGGCCACATAATGGGGAATCATGATTACCACATATTTTTATATATTTGAATCATTACTTACATTAGGGAAACTATTCGGTATTCACACATGTGAGATTCATTTATTTCACTTATGAATATGGTCTCAAGCTGCGTCCATTTATTGATAAATACCTCAATGTGATCCTTCTTTATAGCTGAATAATACTCCATTGTATAGAAATACCACAACTTTTTTATCCATTCCTCAGTTGATGGACACTTGGGTTGTTTCCAAGATCTGGCGATTACAAATTGTGCTGCTATAGAAGGAAGGGTTTTGAGACATGCGGCTTCTTAGACTCGAAAGGCTGCTCCTCTGTTCCTCTTTCTTCTCATAAACTCTTCTGTTCCGTCCAGTCTCATCTTTGTGCTGGGACAACAGCATTCTTGGCTGGGTTCTAGGCATCCAGGTGACCTCATCTCCCTGCGTGGCTTCAGCTGTTACCGCACACTGTAGACCTGGTGGCCATGTCCTTTGGCGGTGGCTCGTCTCAGAGCTCTGGACTCCTGTTTGAGTTCCCAGAGTACCTGGGTGTTGTGTGGCTTTCTGAATTCTAACATCTTTCAGAAAAAATTTAACTCCTCGGCACCCTGTTGAGACAGTCCCGGAAACCAGGGATCTGGTTTTTTGTTCCTCCTGAATCACAAACTAGTTCCTGTTGGTTTCACTGCCCTGGAGGTACAAAGGGAAACACAAAGTTAATAGCTCCTGTTCTCAGGAAACTCTTAAACTGGACCTGTGGCCTGTAGGCCAGTGAGGCCTTCTGGAGTTACTTCAGAAGTTGTGGAGTTAAGGTTGTCATATGTTTCTGTAGCCAGTGGAATCAAACTCAGGACTAGGCACTTGTCAGACAGGCACTGTGGGAAATTTCAAATAGTTTTACAGTCTCAGAAATCTTTGTAGGAAGAGTGTCTCATAGTGCTTGCGTGGCACCCTTGTTTGCCTTAACGCCTTTGTCCCGCTGTAACGAAGCTGGATTCCTCGACGAGAATAAAGCACCTCATGATTTGGCCAGACCCCATTTTCAGTCACCTCCTGACTTGTCTAGTCTCCCTAAGGGTACCATTGGCTTTCACTTGCATTTGTTCTGCATCCTTGCTCAAGTTCTTCCCATTGCTTAAAACAGCCTTTTCTTTCCTTCCTGCAAACTTGCTCATGCTCAAACCCTGATAAATAATTGTTCTCCTCTTGTTCCCAGCCCTACTGTCACTACCCAAAAGAAATTCACCCACCCTTTTTATTAGAATGCACATGCTTGTTATACTTAATCCACGGGCTGTATTTTAGGGAGTCATTTATTCTTTTTGCCTACAAAATTGTGAACTATTAGTTGAATAACAAATGAACATAATCACCCATCAGGATGCAGAGAGAAGCTGGGCATGGTGACCTGTGCCTGTGATCTCAGCACTCTGGGAGACTGAAGTAGGAGAGGGCACATTTGAGCCATCTGGACAATTTAGAGACTCGGAATTAAAAAGACTGGGATGTTGGTCAGTGCAAAAGCCGTGGGTTCAGCTCCCACTACTGCAAAAAACAAAACAGCTTTGTGCCTTCCCTTTCTTCCTGCACCCCATTTTCAGGTGACTCAGCCAATAATTTTGGCCATGTTTGGAAGTGTTAGTTTCTCCCACTGCACAGGCTGTTGCTCTCTTCATCTCTTACTCTGTTTTCTTTGCACTTTATCCCCCACCCTTTTAACCTGGTTAACATTATTGTAAATATTTTTAAGGGGGGAGGACAACAATATACATGACTTTAAAATCTCTTTGATTAAAAGAAAATGAATGCTTTGTACTCTTCTCCGTGCTTGTGAGCACTAGTGTGCGTGTGTGCATGTTAAATTGAAAGTACCTTGATGAGTATTAAAGAAATCACCTGAAATTTCTTAAATATTTAATTTTTTTTTTTTTTTTTTTTTGTCTTTTTCCTTTTTATCGGTACCGGGGATCGAACTCACGACTGCCTGCTTGCAAAGCTAAGCTAAACCCCCAGCCCCCAAATATTTAATTTTTTAAAGAATTGAAAATACCATTAAATTACCAGTTTTGGTATAACTAAAAATTTAAACCGTTTTTGGTCATATAGTCAGTCATTTGTTTCTCAGGGCTTTGTGGGATCTCAAATCTTCAAAGGACATTAATAGTTCACCTGATTTGGCGGTTTCCCAGCACTTTTGTTAGATAGTAGAAACTTTTGCTTGATAAAAGTATATATGAATTCCCCCCCCCCTCAAAAAAAAAGGAGGGGAGAAATGTGAAATAAACCTTACAAAACTTCTTGTGCTGTAGTAAAGAGTTTAATTCTTTGGTCTTCCAAAGAAGACCTCATTGAACTCAAACTGTTACATTTCATTGAATCCAAAGTACTGTTGATTGTGAACCGTATCCTGGCGCTGGAGATGTTAAGTGCCTCATGAGAAGTGACTATACTGGCAGCTGGGGCTAGGCAGTGGTAAAGTGCTCGCCTAGCACGCACAAGACCTGGGTTCTTCCCTAGCACCATACGCAGAAGCAAGAGAAATTGGAAAGCAAGGTAATGTCTGGTAAAGCCTAGGTGTAATGTGAGAAAGAAGGGTACACATTATATATAAGAGTACAGCTGTGAACATAAGGAGAAGATAAGCTGTCGTGGTGACCGCGATCGGCTGTTCTCAAAATCTCCTGTCACACACAGCTTGCTGGCTTATTGAGTGCCACATAATAGTGTGTGTGGACTGGTGGCTTGCCTGGCAAAACCTGGACGTCTACTAACCTCTTTGTGTCTTTTGTTTTTGATGGGGCTGCCTATTCTGTGGTCTTCAGATGGCTTTTAAAATGAACCCACTCTTTATCATGGAGGTGTGATCCCCAGGGATGCTTTACCCTGGGCTGCATCCACTATCTTTTCTTGTCCATCTCTCTTCCCTTCCTTCTTCCTCTCTCTATTTCTTTTCCTTGCTTGCTTTTTAGACAGTATCTCACCAGTTTGCCCAGGCTGGCCTTGACTTTTTTTTTTTTTTGGTACCAAGGACCAAACTCACGACCTTGCACTTGCCAGCAGGCGCTTATGCCACTGAGCTAATTCCCTGGCCTTGAGATCCTGCCCTCAGCCTCC